TCGCTAAAACCCTGCACAATAAATCTATTTGTGCCTCTATGTTCACGTAGTCTTTCTTCTTCTCTTTCCGTAACCAGTTTCTGTTCGACAAGCGTCTACTTTGCTGTATTTGTCAAATACAGAGTTACACTCGTTGTGTTGCATCTCAAGCTTTTGGTTTGGAGGCAGAAGTACTGAAAGTTTTCAAATAACTCTCGTTCTCCCCAACACGCAAAGGTCCTTCTAATGAAACTACTTGCACGTATGTGTCTGTATTGAATGGCTTTTAAATGAACGATCTGCTATCGAATTCGAGTGTAAGCTGAGACTCTCAAACAAACGCTCAAAGGACGTAGATGAAAAAAGCCTCGACATTTTATCCAAAAGGTTTGTTTTAGGTAATAAATTTTTTTGTTCATATTCTAGAAGCTTTGGCCCTTCTTCACTTGTAAATGCGAAAGAAAAATACCTCTTTTTATGCGATGCAGTTAAGCCACTTAAGACTACGGCAGCCAAGTTAGAAGCATATTTGAAATGCACTGTAAGAGATGAAAATATTCTTAAAAGACACACAAGTGTATTTGTAGGCTATTAGCAGTTAGACCAAAGAGGCCATAAACGCGTAACAACACATCACATATTCGACTGGATGATGCTCAGACATTTACTTCATTGTATGAACAATTGGCTAAAAAGCTAAGGTTTACTGTTTCCGATAAGAAGATTATAATATTATTTATTAGTAATAACACTGATGATATTGTGCGACAAAGAGAATTAATTCTAAGTGTAAAACCTGAATATAATATTTTATATTTTTTGCGTTTTTTTGTTTTTTTATTATTGTTTTCTTTTTTTAAGGTTTACAGTAGAGATTTAATAATTTCACAATACAAACAAAACAGATCAATTTTATCAACTTTCTTTTTTCTGCTACTTCATCTTCTTCTTTCTTCTATGTTAATAAATACTCATAGGTGTGTGTGTGTGTGTGTGTGTGTGTGTGTTTATGATTGTTTGAGTACCTATCGAAATTAGTCATACTTCATAAAATTGTTATCAATTCTATATGTTTCATCTTGCAGATCATAATATACATAAGACAAACGATGATTAAATACTTAAAGAGGGGTGAGAGAACAAACGGGTGTGTGAGTGCGTTACTACACTCATCTTATATTTTCGAAATATAACTACAACGTATATATTTTGGTGCGAGTTTATTTTAATTATATTAACTTAAATTATGCATATATATATGGATAGATATATACATATAGGCCATGTATAAATTTTACTACAAATTTTTTCTAAATTGGAGAAACGATTTCAGTGACCGTTACAATTTAACATCGTCATAATGCTTCGTAACAAAAGATTTGAGTGAAGTTTCCAATGTTTTCATAATAAATTCTTTTAGTACATTTTTAGTTTCATATGAAAGGGTAAATAGTATAAAATTTATATATAAATTATTAGAGTTTATTGGCGTACCTTTCATTGTGTTTTTGCATTTATATATTATGTACGAACTGTATTTGCGGGTTCGTGTTTGTGTGTGTGTGTGTGTGTGTGTGTATGCGAGTATGTGTGTATTTGTTTTGCATCAGGGAGTATGCATCTGCATGTCTGTCTGTCTCTCTCGCTCTATGTGTTTGGTGGAGGGGGCGTGTGATGGTGTGGGCATGTGTCGTCTATTGAACTAATTGTATTGTTACAATCAAATTAAACCAATTGACTGACACTCTTCTAACATTTGTAATAATTATGTTTTATCTCTATTGTGGTCTATTATGCAAATTGCATATTTTTTTTATTTTTTATTTATTTTTTTTTTTTTTATTTTGCATGGTAGATTGATCATGTTACAGGTATAATTATCGAACGTTATCAATAATTCAGATTCATATTATAAGGAAATTTAAAACTTCTTACAAGCTTTAAAGAATATTTAAATCTAAACTAATATAACATTCACTATATTTGAATATTCGAGCAAAATTATATAAAAAAAAAAAAAAAAAAAAAAAATCTGAATCTATCTTTTTATATAACATTTGTATCGGCACAGTACGTATATATGCACAATGCATTCTTGATTATCGTGAGACTCTTAATCAATTTAATCTGCTGCTAGTTCATAGCACTTTTGCAACTCTTAAATAATAAAAACGTAGATAAGAATATCATTGGATTCATTGGACTTATTCTATATACTGCAGCTTCATTTAAATGCAAAATGCTTGAAAAAATGAAATTTCAAATTAATTTTCATTATTTACTTAATGACCGATATGATAATATTTGGAGCTTAAATTTGACACACTAGTCATGGGGGTCATGGTACGATCCACTTTGGATAAACAAGCAAGTGATTACATACGTTATACTAATTGAAAAAAAAAATCAAGTCCACCTATAACCAATCTTTTAGGAAATAATTATTTCGATAATTTACATGATCAAGCCACTGCTTACTTTCTATTTAGCACATTTATATGAAATACATTCGCATCGCATTAGACATTGATTACATAATATATATATATATACATTCTAGTACATCCATTTAATAGGTGCCTTCACGAAATTCGTGCCGCAATAGACGAGAATAAAGTGAAGGTTCCAAGAGAATTTCCAACTTAAACTCTTTCGTTATTTTGCACAGACTTTGAATACAAAAAATTACTTAAAGAGAATATTTATAAATATATATATATATATATGTACTTGTGTATGTATGTGATAACTAGAAGAAGGAAATATACAAAATTTTTAATTATACCCACCACCACAGCTTGAGGATATACATACGTACATACTTATTTTGATTTGTAAGATTAAAAAATTTCCGATAGTCATAGAGAGGAGATGGCGACTAAATTTCCCCAGTCATGCGCCTGTATGTGTGCGATTTGGACCATATATTCTTGAATTAATGCAAAAGATCAAGTATCAAAATCAGTCATTATTAGCTGGGTAATAACAGAATGTGACTTAAACTCGAAAGGAGAAATCGAAACGGAAACGGAATCATTCCTCGACGCCGTGAATGGATCAAGCCGTCGAGTAATTAGCATTTACCAAAAAGAAAGATATCCGCTTTAGGTGGTAGGTTGGCAAAATTCGCCGATTCGGCGAATATAATTGGTTTGCCCGTATTCCATTTGAAAGTCTAACAATATAAGTCAAAGTTCATTTAAATCCCTAAACTTTTTTGCATAATTTCCTAGTGAGAGAAATTGAAATTTCATTTATTTTTATTATTCGTTTATTTTAATTACTTTGTATTTATTTATATATTTTTTTAATTTTTATTTATATGTTTCATACATTTTTTTTTTTTTTTTTAATTATTTATATTACTATTTATTTATTGGTTTTTTAATTTTTAGGTATTTTAATAACTTTTTTATTTTAGTATTTATTTATTTCATACAATTTTTTATTTATGTCATTTATTAATATTATTTTTGTTGATTGTTTGTATATTTACTCTCTTAATTTATTTATTTCTTTTATTTATATATACTGATGTATTTATTTATTTATTTATTTATTTTTTTATTTATTTTTTTTGTTAATTTACTTATTTATTTCACTTTATTTAATTATTTATTCTTTATTTTAGGTAACAATTTATTTAATTTTTTTTTGTTTTATTTATATATTTAAGAATAAAATTAATTTTTTTTTTTTTATTTTAGTATTTATTTATTCTTTTATTTTTTTAATTGCTCTGATTCGTTTACATGATTCATGTTTTTTTTTTACCATTTTTCCTTGTTACTTTTATATATTTATCTATTTTATTTATTTATTTTATTTTTTTATTTATTGATTTGTTGATATTTATTTATCTTTTTTATTTATTCATTCATCTATTTTATCTTGTTACTTATTTTATTTATTTCTTGTTTATTAGTATATTCCTTTATTTATTTTTCTTTTTTAATTTACTAATTATATTATTTCATATATTTCTTCTTTTATTTATTGATTTTATTTATTTATTTACTATTTCCCAACTTAAAGATAAGAATTTACTAAATATGTCTTTAATACCGAACTACAAGCTTTAAAGATACTCGAAAGCGACTTTGTACCGTCTAATTGATTACTCAAATATATCAAGAGAATTAGCTTGGAAGGAGTTTTTTGCGATTTTTCTCAAAATATTTTCATTAATAACACACCACCCACATCAAATAACAAACAGCCAAGAAATTTGAGAAATGTCTCTAAAAAGCTATTTGAGTTGACTTTGTGAAAGTTATTTAAATTGCTTTACCTAACAACAAAAACTAAACAAACGTGAAAGGTATCTAAAATTCGTCGTATTACGCAATTTCTTCATTTATTTATTTATTTAACTTTCGTTTATTTTACTATGTTTTATTTTATATCGCTATTGTTATTTTTATTATTATTTTTATTATAGGAATTGTGAAGAATATATATATTTTCAAATGAATTGATGGAACCCTCAGGGTCTTTCATTTGAATTAATTAGAGGAAAAACGGATGTTAATTGCAAATTTGCATTAACTGCTCCGGGATGTGAGCATGTGAACAAAGGTTAGCTGTACGCCTCACAAATGTATATTGATAAAATGAAAGTGTAGGTGAAACTGAAACTGAAAATGAAAGCGTACTATTGCTGTCTTTTTCTTACAAGTCAGTCAAGGAGTGAGAAGATAGCATTTCTATTTTCTGTAACATATTCCCGTTTGTTATACAATTATTATAATTTATATACTCATTTAAGCTAATCGTTGTTAGTGTATATAGTTTAGATTGTGCTTTTTCTTATCGTATATATCAATTTTAGTGTTAATTTTTGTTATTGTTACTATATATGTTGGTAAGCATGTACGCATGCATATGTTTCAGCATATATGTATGTATGTATGTATATATGTATGTATGTATGTATGTATATATATATATATATGTATGTATGTATATATATGTATGTATGTATATATATGTATGTATATATATATACATGTATATATACATGCATGTATATATGTATATATGTATATATGTATGTATGTCTACTATATAATGTTATATTATTAATAATAAGTGTATTTATTTGGTACAATGTTACACTTATATACTGTTATTGTGCAGATTCCAGTGGGGAGTTTGTTTGACACAAATACATAAATAAAGTACACATTCAATTGATTTATATTTATGTATATAGAGAAGTGTAACAAAATAAACTTTGCACATATTGTACGATTTAGGCATTTGATTCTTTAAGATTTTGCAAACGTGCCAATTGATTTGAATCCAATTCCTCAGGTATACTGGCACGGCCACCTACTACCTGCTTCGGTGCCTGAACATTTTCTTCTTTGTTTTCACTGCCGTTCGCGTAATCCTCCGTGGCACCCCCAGCAAACGCATCTTCAAAATTCACTTCAAAATTCGCTTCGAAGGCATCCGCATTCGCATTGTTATCGGGTAGAGTTGCTGCGGTTGCAGCCGCATTCTCATTGAAGGGATCTTGAGCCTCTTTTAAACTTGGTATATCAGAGGTATCAAGATCCTGATCAGATAATGATTGGGAATCGTCTGGATAGGGCGAGGGCGAAGTTAAGGTTACAGTAACAGTACAAGCCTCTATGGCTTTCCTACCTTCAATTTCTTTATCAATCGATTTATCGATTTTCTTCATATCGCAATTGTCCGCATCGTCCTCGCTAGCAGCCATTTTCTTCACTGTGGCAGTTTTTACAGACGCTATGGCCGCTTCCTTCTCCTGAGTACCATTGCAATCCTTTTCTTCGTCTAGCGGAGGGAAAGATTTACCTGAACCGTCTTCAACCAATGGGGTTGCAGCGGTAACAACTATTTGTGCCATACCTAAATTCAAGGAATCCTTAGTCTTACTCGTGGCAACAGAGGTAACACTTAAGGTCGTCGGTGCCCGCATAGTTGGCGGCTGGCTACCAGCATCTTCCGCATCGTGCTATAAAAATAACAATTAATAAAAACTTTATGTAATAAATTATTCTAAAAAATTCTTAATATATAAAAAAAAAAAAAATCAATTTCGTTAATATATTTTCATCGGCTTTACCTCATCTCCTGGCTCTTGCACCAGCACTGTGAGCATTAAATAAAAAAAATTTAATTATTTTTCCCGATTCAATGTTTATCTACTTATTGAAAAAAAAAAAATAAGAAAAAAACTCTTCTTAAATAGTACTGAAAAAACTTAACACATATATCTAAACTAAATTTTTTCTACATTTTAAGAAACTTTACAAAAAAATACGTGCGTTTTCTTACAAAAACACAAAACACACAAAGAAACCGAAAAGGAATTCGTGCCTGGTGTTACAATTCCAAACATTTTAGAAACTTATTAGGGCTTTCAATATTACATATCCGAAAAGAATAAATAACATAAGGATAGGAAACTAAAGGACGAACAAAGGGAGAAACAGCACAACAACTCAACTATCCATCATTAGCTTACTACACAAACAGTGACAATTGCATACGAAATCTATCGCTATATCCCGTCAGTGTGCATAAAGAATTTTTTTTTATTTTTATATAAATATAATAATTTGAAATAAATAAATAAGAAGGCGAAATACGATAAGTTTTTATATGCTAAGAAAGGAAAGAAAGGCTTTTCCTGGCAATTCTTTAATAAACTCGATGCATATACAATTCAATGACATTTCACAGCGCATTCAAGTCAACTGAAATGTAAAATTTCAGATACTCTTTAACACCTCGCCTTTTAGTTAACATGAAAACCCACTTTCCCTTCAAATCGTCTCTAGTAATTTCATTTGAAGAATTATGTGCTATAGTCCTAGTAATGTTGTGTGACGGACTGTAACACCTTCCGTTCTAACAGCCTCTAATCACTTTATGAAAAGGACAAGCAATCTTACTAGAAAACCTATTGCACCTTCCGTTCAAATAATCTCGAGTAATTTCATGAAAAAAGGACTATAGCACCTAACCTCCAAATAGTCTTCTGGTAATTTTATAAGGATGCGTATGGCGCCTTCCCTATCCCACTACTAATCGTGCTAGAAAAATCATAGCTAAGTCAATTTTTTTAATAAGTAAAGCAGTTTCCGTTATGGATATCTTTTCTTATTTACTCGCGTTACGCGGTGGTCTTGTTTTGGCTTTTCGAAAGAACAGATGTCACGCAACTGTTCTTAATCCGTTCTAAATTGTTTCAAAGAAAATCGAGAAACAAATCGTACGATGGTTTTTGTCTTTCATAATAATCAAGCGGGGCATAAGCGATAATCATATTATTTTTTTTTTCATGAAATGAAGCTTGCTTGTTGCATCAATGTCCTCTTCGATCTTTATCTTTATTCAGTACTTTGCTAACAAAATTTCATAAGTTTTACTAATTACATATTATATATATCGATTTTGGACGCGCATGAATGGTTTGGAATTCATTAAAGTAGTGACAAACGATTGAATAAATCGCCAAAACGAAGAATTTTTTCACATTAGAGACAAACCTGATTGATCTTGCTTTCACTGTAAATAGTTCTATAAAAGTCAAATGGACTTGCAACTTCTGAGAAATGTCACTCCAAAGATGTCGTTAACGATTGCTATTTGATTGATATTTTTATTAAATAACTTAACTATTTGCTAAAGAAATGTAAATAAGTACGGACTTATCGTAACGCCTTCTTAGAAGAAAGAAGATATTCATTCGGAACAGAGGAAAAAATTAATTGCCCGAAAAGGAGAGAGGAGCGGTATATTTCACATATATACTCTCCCGTAAATCAATTGTTAAAAGAAATTTATTACGCGAGAGAAAGCGGAGAGAAACATAAATTGGTTTTACTTTTTAGATATCTCTCTCTCTCACTCTCCTTCCAAGCAAAAAATTCAATTAATTATAAAAATATATTATAGAATTATGACAGACTAAGGAAAACATCAAAAAGGAATAAAAATAAAAGGAAATTGTGTTAGAGGAAATTACCCTTTTTCGCAGTTGATTTTTTCAGTGCTTAAATGAAAATAAGAAGTAATAAGCTCAGAAGAGTGCGCAGAGAAATACATAAAGGAGAAAATTAAACAAATACATATATAAAGCAACATCGGTGGTAGGTGATACGCTTGAGATAAATAAGATCACAAAATTGTTTGCTCTTTTTTTCTTTTTTTTTTTTGTGATTGTTTTTCAGTGAAATGAAACACTACAACTGCAGGAATGCCCGGTGCCAGAAGATTAGCGCTTAAACAAGCTTAACTGCAACGAAAAAGCAAAAAAAAAAAAAAAAGAGAAAGAAAACCATACAAAAGGCCATGCAAACGACAGACGTCGTATAGCAAGCGGGATACACACACATTTATGTACTTCAAGAAATATACACAACACCAAAAGTAATAAAATCGAGCCAAGAGACATTTTTAAGGACTATTGCTGGAGAGAAAAAGAAAAAACAACAACAAAATATGAAATGAAATAAATCAGAGAGTTATTGATTGGAGAGGTTTTCTTCATTTAAGTATCTCCGGAGAGTTTGGCACTTATTTGCGCGTACACACTCAATACAGTATAGATGGTAAGGTATGGGGAAGCGATCGCTTTTCATTTTACCTCTAGAGTTATATGGAAGAAGCAGGTATATTCAAATTCGTATATATATATACTTATATAAAAAGAATACAATTTAAGAGAAACGAAATTACACAATTTCAAAGAAACGGAGAGAGATTTATAATGTATCACATTTAGAAAAAAAAAAAAAAAAAAAACAGAAAAAACAGAAAAAACCAAAACATTTGAAAATGAAAATTGATAAACATGACAGAGTTCAAGTCTACAGGATTTCTGTAGTGATGTGAAGAAGGAATATATGCATAAAAAAAATTAAATTAAAGAATTGTAAAAGAATCTTAGAATCACCTGGCGGTGGCATGCTAGGAGCAGAGCCGTTCGGAATGTAGCCACTGTCGTCATCTAAAACGTTAAGAATTTTGATTCAGTTCGCAGTCCATTCGAGGATTCTTGTATCATTTAACTTACCTGCGGTGTCTTGAGATCCAAACATATCTTCGGTTAATTCGTGAGCATATTCGGGTGGTAGAGCCGGAGCTGGTGGCAATGCAATACTGGGCGCAGCAGTAGGCGGCGGTGAGGCTTCAACGCCTTCGGACAAAGGTTCACCGTTTTCGTCGCACTCCTCTACCACTAGCGACGGAAAGTTACCGAATTTACCATCCAATTCACCCTCCCACCATCCATCATCTACCCCGTGAGCTGTTTTAGTTACAATCTTAATTATTTGACCTTCCTCAAAGGTCAATTCATCCTCAGCGGTAGCATCATAATCATACAAGGCAATACAATATAGCACATCCAATTTCTTCTTTTGTGGGGCCATAATTACAGAAACTTGATCCGGCGATTGCATCGAGTCCACAGTTTGATCTTCATTGTCAACGGTATAATCGACGGACGAGAATGAGATTTGCGAACGCAATTGATTGGCAGATGTGCCATTGACAACGGCATCCTGTTCAATATCCAAATAATTGTGTGGCACATAACCCTCCTCTCCACGATAATTACGGGCGCGCAACCAACCGTCACCATCCCCTTCGCCAATAACCTCTAATTGTTCGTTTTCCACGATCGTTAACTCATCGGGATTTTGTGCCTAGGATTAAAAAAAAAATCAAAAAAAACAATGCAACTCTCTTCCATCTCTTTCTTAGCTTTCTATTCGCGCACTTACAGTGTAACTATACAAAGCGGTACATTTGAATATGACCTCTTTAGGTTCCGGCGCAATTGGTTGCTCATCTTTCTCTTCTTCCTCCTCTTCGCCCCAATTAACTTCGGTAGGGTCTTCCCAGCCACCGGTTGTCGCTGCTGACATCATTGGCATTGCCGCTGTTGGCTCCGGGACTTGTTCCTCGACTTCTATTTGAGTATTGAAAATCAATATGTATACGAAAAGCGTTCGAATATTTACGCCACGTACCTTCTTCACTGTCACTAAATGTTCGATCACGCGTCAGCTGTGTCTCCTCTGAAGATTTACCTGGAGCCTGAATCGGTGCATTACCGGCATCTTCTTTATCACTATCGTAAAATGAATCGGAGCTGGGATTTTCCTAAACCAGATAATACAAGTTTATGGTATAACTTTTATTTGAACCCTTTCCTTACTCTCTATCTATCGAATTGGACTTACCCCTTGCCCTGACGCATCCGTGCGCATAGATATAGAACTAGCAGACCGTGTCAGCTCTTGAGCCCCAATAATTTCAGCTTCTTGAACCCATTCATCCACATTTATGCCGCCCTCACGCAGGCATTGCAGACAAGCCTCCGCTTTAGCTTTTTCCGTTTCTGATCGTCGTATCATGTCGCGAAACTCTTCAATTTTGGTATCTAAATCAGGCCCGTTAGGATCGTTGGGATCCGAACGTTGACCCGAATCTCTGAGTGAAACACAAATTGCTAGCTTTTTAGCATTCTCCCTTACCGACAAATTCTCTTTGACCACACGTCCTGCTAAATTTTTCGCTTCCTTTGTTAAGGTTTCCACGGCAGATTCATGTTCGGTGGTGACTTTGCGGACCGGATCATTGTCGCAAGGCTCAAATTCGTATTGTATATGCTGCTTAAGCACTGGATAAAATAGATAACAGCACTGCAAATTATACTCGCGCGTTAACTGTTGGGCCTGATCCCGTATCTTTCCAAAAGAATTTTGGGTAGCTGAGCAAGTAAGCAGTTCGGTACGCCCCATTAGGGTTAGATATTCGGCCACTCTCTCAAACACATAATTCTCCATCGTAGTCATGGTCGTTTGTAGATCAACAGTGAAATAACGATTCTGATGCGCATTACCGGCCGCTAGGCTAAGTATATAATCGTTGCGCGCACCCGTCGACTTTTCCTCCAGCAATTCTTTACGGGACGTTACACGTGCACTATTCTTTTGTAAAGACGTTATAGACTGAAAAAAGGAGCCTTTTTTCTTTTTCAGCTTCTCCTCAATATCACGAGCCTTATCGCGCACGTCATGGGCGCAATGTTCCTCATCAAAATATTGCTTTTTCGCTTTATCTAAGTCGCCAATACTCAAATGCAATTCCTTTTGCACATTCACAATCTGCGATAAGGCCTTCTTAGCTATGGCCACCTTATAGTCGCGCAACACCTTCGCCTCATCGGCTATTTGTTGTTGAAAAACTTCGATTGCGGCCAAACGGGCCCGCGCTAATTTCTCGTTCTCCTCAAGGACCGTACGCCAAACACTCCACATGTTCCTAAAAAATAATTGCATAGCAATTTCAAAATAATGATTAGTTAACAGTGAATTAATTGCCCAAAGCTCATACGATTTCTTATGATTTCATAATGGCTTCAAGTCGCTTACCATCTCTCCTCCATTCCCTCCATTTTAATGTCTGGTATATTCGGGATTTTCTTGTTAAGATATTGCGATGAGATTTTCAGCAATGCCTCGCTATACGATTTCTCGATGGCCGATCGCTTGATCGTGAATTGCCTTATGTCCTCGAGTAAGTCGCATTCATGTTGATTTTTCAACTGCAGCTTGGCTACTTGTTCGGTGTGTAAATTTTTTAGGAATTTCACATAGTTACCCTAAACCGATGAAACAAAAGCCATGAAAAATATTCATAAATGTAGCGAACGCATGGACATAGACGGTATTCCTCACTTCCCGATTAGGAAATGGGAACTTCTTAAAAGTAATTTGACGCAATTTGGAAACGGAAAATTTTGTAAAAAGCACTAGAAAGCAGTTTAGCCAGTTGATCTTACCTTACGCGGTGGAGGCTGCATTTTTTGTTTAATTACGAATACAATTAAAATTTTCTATTTTGCTTTTGTTTTTTTTTTTTTCTTTTTTTTTTTAATTTTTGTTTTTACTTTTTCACTCACGAGAGTGGGTAAAGACAGACAGGCAAGCAGACACACGCACCCACCCGCTTACTATAATTGATAATTTTTATCTACGCTCGAGCTTTACAAAATAATGTAAATAATGTGTTAATGTGTATGTAAATATATTTATATATATATATATATACTTATATCTATCTATGAATGTATATATATAAATATATATGATATATGTGCATGATATATGTGTAAAATATGTAGGTGTGAATGTACGTTTTATTGGATTTATTGATATTAAAGCGTTTCTTCTTCTGTTTTATTTTGTCTTCATTGGCGAATCCACATTATTGGATGTCGCAGTTGTCCTTCCCCTAAATTTATATGGGAAAAGCGTGAAAATGTTTAGATGCGATTAAGCAAAGGTCCAAAAATTTGTCACCACGACAATACACGGATTAATTGTAAGTGTGTTTGCAGACTGCAGACTAATAATGGGTCGCACGCTTATGTAATGTGGAACTACATTTTTTTTTTTTTTTTTTTTTTAATATTATTTTTTTATTTTTTTTTTTTTATTTTTTTTTTTTTAAATGTTCGATTTTGAAAGAAGTTGTTTTTTGATTTGTGTGCTTGATTCCTCCACGCTTAGGTGCACTTTGCGATTATTATCGGGCAGGACGGTGGGGGCAAATACGTTAAGCTTTAAGCAAAAATTAGTATAGATTCGAATCATTATTTAGTTAATTATGCGTTTGGAAAATAATCGAAAATTAGAGAGAAAAGAACAAAAAAATCAATGCTAACACTTTTCTTGGACATTTCTTTTTCTTTTTAAATGTCCTTGGGAAACGAATAGTTTTCACTTTCACTACACAGAGTAAAAAGAGTAAAAAGATGAAAAATCAACTTCTTTTCTTTTTTTTTCTTTTTTTTCTATTTTCCTTTTTGTTTTTTGTGTTTTTTCTTTTTTTCTTCTTTATTTTTTCTTAATTAAAATTGATTTGTTCCATTTGATGTTTTACTTATCGATTTAGTTGTTTGGTTGGTTCGTCAGTGTTGGTGGCAATGTTCTCGCTACTGATTTGACTTTAGATCTCATCGCAGAATATTTTAGTCGGTTTGCATAATTTTTAACTGGAAATCACCACATGGTTGTGTGAAGGTATTCGGTGAGCGTAATTTTCCAGCCTAACCAGCCAAGCGGTCGCAATTGCCTTCGAATAAGGGTAAAATTGTACCGTAAGTAATACCAAAAACGTTTTCATGTATTGTTATGCGATTCATTCATAAAACTAACGATTGGAATTCAGCAATGATATTTATATGGAGTTTTTTAGTTAAGACTTGCGCATTTTGAAAAGTTAGCGCACATCTCGCTCGCTCTCCACGCTCGATTAATGCACAAACGGTTTCCTGAAATCATAATTCATATATTAAAGGTCAAAGTTATTAGTTGTAGAATGTTCGCATATCAGTCACACACATTCCCGAAAACAAGGTTGCCAGTTATGATATGATTGTCTTATCATTCTCCAATTGTTTTTTCTTTAGCATTTATCAACAGAGCACAAAAATATTGATAAGATATTTTACGCATTATATAAACTTATACCTATATATCTACATTATATACATATATGCATATATAAGGTAAGCTATATAGGTTTCACAGATCCGTTTAATATACCAATTTACAGCGAAACAGCAACAATTTACTAATGTACTTTCAGGCGAAGTGTATATGGTATAGAGCCAATACAACCAACACATTCATTCGTGATGTCAACTTCTCAATCGAACGATAGTTACAGTTATATCTTATATAAAAAGATCTGTTCTCCATTTTTCAATTTATTCCAAAGTGCACCTCTTTTCATTTCATAAAAAACCGCCCGTTTAACTGGTATGCCTTTGGAGAGCGATTGTGCGATTTTTTGCTTTCCAAAAAAAGATACTCCTTTTACTGTTATACTACTGGTCTTATCTATAGCGTACGGTTTCTGCTTCGCGAGAATACAAATTTATTTACAATAGAATTCCATAAAGTTTCTTGCACTTTTACATTACATTTGTTTTCAGTTCTTACGCAGGAAAGTTAATCATATTTAAAACTTCCACTCTAAGTGAAATTGCAAGCTCTTCAAGCTTGCTTGCTCTTCTATAATCCTCTTTAAACATAGGTTGTTAAGTACTCTCGAAGTTTTTGATCAAATTGACTATAGAGGGAGAATATTAACTATAAGAGCAGGCATACGACAACCACTAGCCCGAAAAGCCGTCGAGTGCGGCCCGCTTCATTGAAAATTTTAGATAACTCAATTTTTGCTCGCACATAGCAATTTTGCCTCGATAATGAACTCTGTTTAATGGTTGTATAGACGTACCCAAATGCTCATTTCATGTGGTGATCCTGGGCAACGGTCAGGAATAGTTTAAGGCTTGACTATATATAATTTGGCAACAGATTTTTCTTATCGATAGCTCAGGGCTGCATTGGAAAAAGTTTTGTTTTCTCCACTTCTTTTCTCAATAGACTGCTTCTGTGAAAGAAATACAAACTAACTGAAACTAATCGAGAACATAGAGCAGGCCGAGTCGGTTGTATCCGCCGACGCGTATTTATCTTGAGAAAGGATAACTAGGATTCAGCTAACCGGGATTGCATGGCAGATTCAACGGCAAGTGTGACTGTGGTCGCGTAAAGTAATGCCAAAGCGTTTATGGACTAAATTTAAGCTCTACAAGGATGAGGAGCCCACTCGATATCTATCTCTATACATCTCTCTAAGGAAGGAATCTAGTAGTTGCGATCGTGTATCCTGACTGTTGGGTACACCCCTTCTTGGATAGTCGTGAGCCACTTCTAGAGTGAATAATTAGAGTTGATGATAGGCCTCAACACTCCACAGAGTAAGTTTATTGACCACACATTTTAAATCAATCCGGTACTACAATTCTAGTGGGCCCCTAACTTACAGGGACCGTCTTACACTCGGGGGGGCGCCGCTTCACGCATACAAAACCCGCACAGCAGCGGATATCGTGAAGCTAAATTTTCCTACAAGTGCTCACGTTAAACCACTAGGGACATTTGTGTCTGCCTTTGCTACCGGTCCAGTCGCGCAGGTATCCAATGTGAAAATTGATGCAGAATGCCGCATTTCTAAAAGTAGTTCGATCTTGGTCTGGCTGTTGCCAGAAAAAAGTCTCCCACCCCTGTGTAAGATCAATGATATTACATAAGCAAGGCGCAGCTGGTTAACTGTTACTGGGATTTACAAAAAGAAAGAACCAAACCTTTTCTAGAATATTAAACCTAAAGGCATGACCACTAAAAGCATATTACTGGGATCTTATCTCTTCCGTGTGGAGTAGATGAAAAAGACACCACTATGTATTCTGCTCAATAGTTTATTTTTAAAGCTAATCGCTTTCATCACAAATCCAATACATGTCGCCTGAATAGCCGGGCAGGGAATATTCGCGGGTTCAAATCTGAGTGCAGTAATATTTAATTTTGGTCACAGCTATACTGAGCGACCATTCAGTGAACGCACAACACTTACCGATTGGACACACGCCCACTTGTCTGCAGCCACTTAATTATCCGCTTCCCCTTCCCCTTCATCTAACTCAATTCCTACATACATAGAAGACTGGATTCATGTTAAAAAAGAAAAACTATAAATAAATAGGTTTTCGTGGATTAGATTATAAAAATTTTATTAAATGAAAAAGCGCAATTTTTTTCCAAAATTATTGTTACAAGAGCTTCTGCTTCTTCCAATTTGGCATTTATTTCAGCTGTCTATATAACTTATATTAGATTCTAAACTGTTCAAGCCATAAAGTGGGCATTCCTTGGCAGCATTTGCAATTTCTCTGTCGCCCACATTAGCTTTAAAACTTTCATTCCTTCTCACGGCAATTCATTCCGGTCCCTTTATTCTTTTTCGTATTTTACTTAGTTTTAGATTTAGATAGGCGAATAAAAGCCAAATCTAAATGAAACATTTAAAGAGTTATCAAAAGAAAATCTTAAACTCTAAATAAATCGTATATGTCGGTCAATAATTTTTGGGAGTTGCTAAAAAAAAAAAAAGAATTTCATTGGAAATTTCGATTTTGTTGAGCAACATCAAGACATCGAGAACGACGCAATCACTCTTAACGCAACGTTTCTGTAAAATTAATATATGTTTTTAATAAAACCGTTTGTCAAGTTCCTCAAAATACGCATCAGTTGCCCAGGGAGCTTATCACCGCTTGATCGATCGAAGATTTTCTCGGCAACATCTTCTTAAAATTCCCAAATTATCACTGGGCATAAAATCCGCGAAATAGTGTGAGTGGTATAGCAACTGAAACTTCATTTCATGCAATTTCCCTCTTAGCCAGCCACACTGCATATTAACATCTTTAGGACGTCACCTATCTCTGGCACTTTTCGATTATTAAAAATAGCTTTTAAAATTTTTTTTAATGTTTCCCAATATAATAATCTTTTTTGGGCGAACACGTTCACGTCCAGTATCATTCGTGTCGTTCGGGAAGGTAGAGCCATAAAACTTTTCAAGCCTATACCAAGTTTGATCACAAAACAATCTTTTATCAACACATGCGATTCGGATTTTTCCACTGTCCAATGAAAAGCAACAAAGTTAACATCACAAACGCGTTACGACCAGCAATCCATTGTATCGATCCCTCTTAGAGAAGAGATCTGTGTCTCAATTTCGAGAATTGTTGGTCAAGGGGTTATTTCTATATTTGATTACGAATTTTGAAAAATAGGAAGAGAGAGTAGCGCCTGTCAAAGTTTAACTTAAAAGTGGAAAACATCAGGCACAATGGGAAAGATCGTGGGTAGTACATTGTTCTATAGGCGGGCAGTACGCTTAAAGAACGACCAATCGCGGTAGTGCGTTGGGCGGTATGTAGGAAACTCCAAGGCGGGTAAATAAGAACGTTGAGAAAGCGGTGAGGTTGTGGTAAAGGAATTAATTGATGGAAATATCTCTTCCATCTTTGTAGAACACTTATCCTGGATGTACCTACACATAAGCACTACACAGCTCATATTACATCGATGTTCAGGACTATCGAGAAGTTTGGAAGTATTTTCGTCACCCATGAGCACCTGAACACCGAGCCCCTTCAAACCTGACAATGAAAGAAGAAAGAAAACGCATAAACGGCCGTTAATGAACATCAAGAAGAGAGAAGGAGGAATTATCAGAGCCTTGTGATACGCCGGCATTTAAATACATAAAATGCTTGTCTTAAATAAGATTAACTACGGTTTGATAATTTATAGCAATAGCTGCAATAGCTGCCTAAAACTGATCCATCATCAAGCTTTTCGAGCCAATGTCTATGCTTTCAACAATTTAGTAGACTATATATATTTTAATATCTAAAGCCATTTCCAAACTTCTTATAACAAACACATTCATTCTCGGCGAAGATACTATTGCCAAGGAAACGACAGATCACCATCTCATGTCCATATGGAAATGGTGGTCGGTATCTTCTTTATACAGACACCTACATGCTGCAAGGCAAGTTCCGTTTAATCACATACATCACGAAAGTGCTTCAACGTTCACAATTGAAGCTAGCGCTATCCCTTAAGCTATAAATCTTCCTTGTAAAAATAAACTCGAAACTTGCATTATCACTGATAGCCTACGATAAAAGCTACTTTCTGCTGGATCACTATTAACAAATGAAGGAACACCACCGCAAGTGGCAAGTTGATCAACTGACAAAATCTGCTTATTGGAACACACTGGGAATAATGTACAACGTATTGTCTACTCTAACATATATGTGCAATATAAACAATAAATATTCGCTTACTCATTGCCAAAGAAATAAATATATATAGTCCTAACACAACATATATAGTTAGTCTTAACACAACATATATACTTAGTCTTAACACAACAATACCACTAGATCCCTAAGGAACCTCCTCCCCCAATCTGCAACAGTAGATAAATTCTTTTAATAAACTACTTTTACTACTTTTATGATTGCCTAAACTTTTGCTTTCGTACGTACGGAAATCAGCTACAGAACGTATTACCCAAATTTGATATGTAATATTATTGAAACTACTAAACTCACAATCCAATTGTCGTTTTCAATCATAACTGATAACCCATCCATAATTATATATCCCCTCAAATTACCGATGCAAAAACAAATTCCACTTTCACTAGTTGTTACGCCAATAGCGTATGGCAATAATTAATTTGTTTTGGTGGTTCATTACGTATCTCTTAACCAACTATCGTCTGAGACGAAAACAAAAGTTAATATTCGCTTATGACTAAGATTGTCGCTTTCCTTGCTAACATTCACACTAAAAAAATAAAATAATTATGAAAGACAAAGTTATGTTTGTTCGATATTTAACTGGACTATACAAAATTTGTAAATATGGAGATAATAAAAGCGAATAATAATTTTCAATGCTTGCTAATCAAATCGAGGAACGATTTCCAATGTGTTACCAATTAGCGTTATAAAGTAAAAATGCATTATGTATTGGGTATTAACAAAAGTTGTATGCAGTTGTAAGTAAAAAGTTTAGACAAGTAATGATTTCCAATTTTTTACCAGTTGACGTCACAAAACAAAGGTTATTAACCAAAAGTATCCGAAAATTTCTCTTAAGTTTATTATTATTTAATAGTTATCATTTTTAAACTTAATATATGCTATCGTTAAAGCGTTATAATCCATGTATAAAACCCTATGACGATCACTTTTTAAATTTACCTAAATAAATATCCAAGAAAAAACAAATGCTAAGAAAAATATATAAGTTTAACCAGCACTGGATTTTTGAATAAATACAGTGTTGCCTACCTAGAAACTAATAATTGCAAATCATCGTATTGGATTAACAACGTGTACGAGGAGAACTGTGCTTGAATTTATTTCCACTTCGTGTTATCTACGCTTTTTCTGTGGAAAATATTTCACTGAACATACGCAGAGAATCTATTTTATTTGTATTATTTAAGCTGCAGAAAAATAATAAAACAGATTATGGCAGCCAAAGTAGCGTCCGGCAATACCAAAGTCTTTCAAAACGTAAGTGCTATAAAACAAATTATTAAAGAATTTAACAGATTGCGTTGTTGTTAATTCGCTAATCACGAATTTTGTTGAATACATAGCACGATGACGTTCACATATCATTCGATGATCAACAAAAGATTAACAAATTTGCCAAGCACAATGCCCGCATGGATGAGTTGAAAGTTGAATTGGAAACGAAAAAGAACCAACTAAAGAATGTCGAAGAGGCTTTAGAAGAAATTGAGCTCTTCGATGAAGATGAAGATATACCATTTCTATTTGGGGAAGTATTCTTATCACATAAATTGTCGCGTACTCAGGTATATAGATACTACTAATATATGAATAACGAGAATAACTAAATTTATTGCAGGAACTTTTAAAAGAAGTAAAGGAAAAGACTCTACGAGAGATTTCGAATATAGAGGCGCAGGCCAACGAAATCAAAGGCGAAATGAATGAACTTAAAGCTCAACTTTATCAACGATTTGGTAGCAACATCTCACTAGAAAGTGATGATTAGATAAATAACTGTGTTCTTTCATCTCAATGATAAAATCATTAAAAAGTCGAAAAGACATAAATTGTTTTATATAAAATTTGAAAGCTAACGTTGTAAGTGCACTCATCAAATTGGTCCCACAGCTATCTCATAAATCGTCTGTTCAGTTCAGCAGGTTCTTGGTGTAATTTCAAGGTGCTCCGGCGAAGAAAATGCAACAGTTAGGGAAGACTGTCTATTAAGACAAATGGTTGAAACATTTTTAATTGAAACGCATTTTTTGGCACCCCATTTGACAGCAAGTACGTTTAGAATTGCCTGCAACGGCGGATCAATCGGAAAAGTCCATGTTTGTCCATAGGCAAAAATTTACAAAAATTTCAAATACGATATTACATTTTTCAATCCGATTTTTTTTACACAGGGTTGCATATTTCGTTTGTTTAATTTTATGAGCAAATTCAGTAGATCATAGTTGTTAAAGGTTAGTAGGAGTTTTCAAAAAATTCATAAGTTAATAAGCTTGCCTTAAAAAATGAATTATAGAGGAACAATTAATAAATTGGAAACTCTATTCTTTAATGATTAAAATTCTTGAATACATATGTAAAGGATTAATTTGTAATATTCACTCAAGAGAGGAAAAAAATTTGAAGGGCAGGTTTATGTGAAGCAGTATTTTGCACTGACAGAGTTGCATCATATATTTTATTTTAAAGACTTTATAAAACAATTGTGTGTTTAACCATTTTACATTCTACAGCCTCCATTGCGTTTTTTAAGACTCGTGGACACGTTATTATTGCCGAGAGAAAAATAAAATTGTAAGAGTAAAATATAGTAGAAATTTGAAAAATATTGCAAACTAGTTGATAATATTGTGAAAATGGCTCAATTTGATTTGACTAGAATTAACTGTCAATTCTTGGACAGACATTTAACTTTTCCACTACTTGAATTTTTATGTGGCAAAGAGGTTAGTTTTACATTGTCTAATGAAACTTGTTTTCACTTTTTGTAAAAATTATAATGCTGGAAATTCTGCGTATTTCGACATTTTTGTTAGATATACGACCAGAAGGAGCTGCTCGAGTACATTTTGGAGACAGTAAACAAAACTAACATGATTGATTATACCATGGATACACGCAAACGCTTAGGTCTTTGTCAAGATATGCCTGAAGAGCTGGTACAGCGAAAAGAGGAGGTTTTAGCTACGCTAAAACAGCTTCAAAACGAAGTAGCTCCTATTATGAAGGCGACCGATATCCTAAAAAATGGGGAAAGCATGAAAGATTCAAAGACATTTGTAAATGCGTTGCAAAAGGATTACAATTTTAAAGTGGAACATTTAGAGAGTGCATATAAACTGGCCAAATATTTGTATGAATGCGGTAATTATCAGGAGTCAACTTCCTATTTGTATTTCTGCATGATTGTTATGTCGCCGAACGATAAAGTAATTATTCCTTCACTAGATTTTGTAGGCGTCTTATGAGTGTACTTATATTTTCATATTTTTCATAGAATTATTTGAATGTATTGTGGGGTAAATTAGCAGCTGAAATATTGACTCTTAATTGGAACACAGCTCTGGAGGATTTAACACATTTACGTGAATATATCGATAATGCGAATTTTACAACCCTTCAGGCTTTGCAGCAGCGCACCTGGCTCATCCATTGGTCCGTTTTGGTGTTTTTCAATCATCCAAAAGGACGTGATCTCATCATAGAGATGTTTTTATACAAACAATTATATTTGAATGCCATTCAAACTATGTGCCCACACATTATGCGTTACTTGGCCACTGCCGTTATAATTAATCGTGGCCGGCGCAATGCCCTGAAAGACCTCATTAAAGTTATTCAACAAGAGTCTTACACCTACCGCGATCCTATCACGGAATTCCTGGAGTGCTTGTATGTTAATTTCGATTTCGAAGGTGCACGCCTAAAATTGCACGAGTGCCAAACTGTTATTCTTAACGATTTCTTTATTGTCGCTTGCTTAAATGAATTCGTCGAAGATGCTCGTCTCATGATATTCGAGACATTTTGCCGTATTCACCAATGCATCACTATTAGCATGCTAGCTGACAAGCTCAATATGAATCCCGTCGAGGCCGAATGCTGGATCGTAAACTTAATACGCAATGCTCGTCTTAACGCAAAAATTGACTCAAAATTGGGTCACGTAGTTATGGGAACCCAACCATTGAGCCCATACCAACAACTGGTTGAAAAGATTGACTCCTTGTCAATGCGATCTGAACATTTAGCTGGCCTAATTGAACGTAAAAGCAAACAAAAGAATCAAGAATCAGTAGACTCGTGGAAATATTACTCGTCTTAGGTTCCGAACTCTTGGCCCAATAACTACAGCTCTTAGCGTTAAATATTCCCGATTAATATTTGATTCATTAAAAAATGATTAACAAAAGAATTCGACAACATCGCAAGCATTCGAGGCTGAAATGCAAATTCAAAATGGATGCGATTGTAATAAGTAATTCTTTTATTCTTCCATTCATTAATATTCGAATAAAAGCTAAGACTAAAAATAAAAGTAAACCAAACTTATATATTAAACAAACAAATTAAGGAAAGCATCATTATTTGCGTTTGGAGGAAATGGTTTAGCCTCACTTGTGCATCGACTTCAATTAAACGGTTAATTGCTACCTGATTTTTGTAGTGAAACTGCTTTTCTGTGGTGATTTCGCCACTAACCAATCCCTTTTCGGTAAGTTCTGCAAATAAGCAACCCATTTCCGAGCGAAAATCATCCATAGTACGCCATATACAATGCAAACGACGGACTCGATATAATAGCCATCAAAGACGATTTTACACTCGCCACCGGCCAAACTACATTCCTTCATGAAAAAGTCATACATACGATCAAATGCGCCAATAGGAATTTTAACATCTTACCTCCTTCTGCTTTTTACTCGAGCAATTGTTATCCATTACCAATGCTGGATTTTTATGAACGCATTCCGTCCACGTAAGCACGTCAACAAGCCATAATATGGCAGTGTTGGCCCAATTGCCTCCTAAATTGGAGAGTGTATTTAAGAAAGTCATGTACGTGCCACCTACGGCAGGATCCGATATCGTAGCAAAAAATGCCATAACTGCCACAAACATACAGTATAAGAAGATTTGATAAAATGCATAGTTCACCACTAGCAAGACATAGTAATAGAAGGGCACATAACCGCCGGATATCATATAGGGTGTGAAGTAAGCGATAAGAGTAGCCATTGACGCGAAAACTATACGATAAGGTATAGCACTGACATATACATCCATGGGTCGAGGGCCGTTAGTATAACGGCTTACAATTAAAGGTAATATTATCTGAAGTGGTATAACAGGAACCACAAGCAGTGCTAGTTTTTCCTTTGGCACACCGGCGTCAATTAGTTTCAATTGAGTTACTGCATCAGCGGCAGAGAAAGTTACTTTTGCAGTGAGCAAAATAATCGCCAATATTTGTATTGGTCGCATTCGTATCATACTAATTAAAATTTTATAACTTTCGTACAAATTGAGTTCATATATATCCGAACGTCGTCGTACCTCTGAGTTTCCCACAGCTGAGTCGTGCTCTTTTTTAAAAATTGCAACTAAGGTGGTAGCAAGAAGAAAGCACCAGCCGCAAAACCATAGAAACTCAGGCAATGTGATCATACCGTGATCTTTCGGTACTGACCGCAAATATTTATTACAAAAATCCTTTGATTCGAACGCTATAAACGTCACATAGCCAAAAAAATAGCCAGCTGTCTGGCCAACACTGTTACATGTAGAAGCATAACTTACGTTGCAGCTTTTCAGCATCGTAAGGGCCCAGCCGTCGACGGCAATATCTTGAGTGGCAGCTAAGAAATTCAATAGGAAGAAGACTAGTGTTAATAATGGTACATTAGGTTCTTGTCCATTTCCACCCAGCCATTGTTCCACATGCATAGACAAAAATAGCATGAAAATTCCAATCATATATTGGCTCGGCACAAGCCACGACTTGCGGCGTCCGAAGCTTCGTATGTAACATGAATCGACGATGGGTGCCCACAACAATTTCAGACTAAAGGGCCACAAAGTAATCGAGAATTCAGCTTGCTCCCGATAGCTCGCTCCACGATTCTGCAGCAACATGGGAACAGCCGCAATCAATCCAATTGGAATTCCTTGGAGAATATACAAGAAAAGCAATAAGGCAATATTTGCCTTATCTCCACGAATGTCAGTCTTTTCGTGCTCTACACTCTCTCGACCTTCTGTAGGTGGTAAAGGGAATTCATCTTTACCCTCTGAATCTCGACGACGCCTCAAGCTCATTGTATTGGAAAATTATATACAGTTCAATTGATCCGGAATCGGCCAAAGAAAATTTCAAAATAAAATAAATGCAGAATAAAACGACACGTCAGCCCTCTGTTGTCATTGGATCAAGAATTTGGGATATTTTCAATTTTATTTTTATACCAAGTTCACATAAGAAACAAAATGCGGCACTTGCACTCAAGCTTTCAAACAGGAAATATCTATTCAGCTACTTTGCGCAAAATATGGAATGATTTACCAAAAAAAAAAAAAAAATCTGACTGCTTTATTTGCAGATACAAGATATGTCTACTTTTTTTTACTTTATTTATTTTATAAACATCAACGTGCGAATGACAAACGATAAGTAACCGACACGCAACACATATTTAATCATCAGTTTCAACCAGTCATTCGTTCCAACTTGTAATATTATTCATCGGTTTGTTATGTGCACGTAAGTCTCGTAAACTTATTTTTTTTTCCCGTTGCCGCACGAGCAAACGCTTATTTACTAGAGTTGCTTCATACATAAGAAATAAATCTAAGCGTGGCCCTTTAATTCAAATTCGAATTCCCTTTTTCCAACAACAAACTTATGATTAGAACTAGTTCTGGAAAAGGAAATTTTCTTTTAAGTATTAAGATAAACCAAGCCGCTAATATGGCTTTCTTTCTTGCTTTTACCTAGAGATGAGGAAACAACAACACGTATTTATGGCTTTTGAACGATGCTGTTAGTTTGGTAAAGAGCAAAACATGCTTAACGAATATAATACATAGTGGCAAAGTGCCAAACGAACATTTATACATATCCTAACACATCTTATATATACCAACCTGATCGCGCTGTTACTGTATCGTGCATATGTTAGCGGAACAATCAAGAACTCTTTGTTGATATCAAACAGGTTTTGAATTTTGTGTACAATGCAGGCGTTGTGTACATATATTGTCCCGAAAATTTTTAATCTAAACGCTATATATATTGTACACCTTGGCCAAAATTGTGCAGAACATTACTTTTATGTTGGTTCACTGCATGTTATCATCGGCTATAGGACGCCCTATTCTGTTAATTTAATGATTTGCAGGCTTGATTGCGCATATATTTAAATATGTATTTGTATCCAATTCAATTTGTAAGCATTAAATCTTTACACCTATTTTAACTTTTTTTATGTTTAGCGTTGCTTGTTCCTTAAATTTCTTTTTCATTTTTTTTGTTTTTTAAGAATAATAAAAAAAAACTCTCTGACCCTATTGTAATACTAATAGTGCCGACAAAATGAGGCTTTTTCACTTTTGTGCTATTATGTATTGTTTTGTTTCATTTTATAACGCGGCAGGCATTTGTGACGGTTTGTCGTAGTTTTTTCGTTGGTACTTTGATCTTCTACGTTAGTAAGAATCTTCCCATCTACGATGGACCTCTGGCGAAAAATTAATGATCTTAACATGCACAGCCTGAAATTTTTCATTTTTGGGTGGTATAGCGCAGAGGCGGTACTTGACCTCATCTCCTGGCATCGGAACATACTCGCCCTCGATGCTATAGATGTTAGTTGTAGATGTTGGCGGGGGAGAGTTACGTGCATTTTGGATCAATAGAAAGGAATTTTCGCATAAGCTTTATGAGTGAAAGCGTAAATGTCTAATAATGAAAATGTACTTACTCGGATATGTGGCAAAATAGATCCTCGCCGCCGGCAGTTGGAGTTATGAAACCATGGCCTTTAGTACGACTAAAGGATTTCACAATACCGGTAACAATCGGATTTTCCAAAGCACGAGCAGAACTGTGAAGAGAATTAAAAACCGTATGAAATCATTTATTTTATCCGATTGAGATTGATACGAATAGAAATGCAACAAGCTCGCTCGTAATTCTCTTATTCTACCGATATAACAAAATGAAAGATTCTACCTACGTTGAGGCAGTTCTAGTGCGTCTTGTTATAATAGGGCTCGGCAATTGCAGAGCGGAAGAATTGGGACTATTGCTAGTACTGCGGCGACAAATTGGTACTGGTGGCTTTCCGGGTGTAAGCTTTTCCATTGTTTCGGCAGCCTGAGACATTTATGTAAGTATTTTCAAGTTGTTGGATTTAATAAATTTCAGCAGATTGAAACTCGTTAGGTTTTTCAAAGTGGTGAGTATAACTCTAATTCTTTAAATTCGCTTATATTCCGCAAAGGGAGCTGCACTGTATTTTACTTCGAATTATCATACGTTTAACACTAGAAGCTAATTAAGAACTACCGCAAATTTCCTATAATGTGGCAAATTATTTAATCAACTATTTTTTTGTACACAACAAAATCAACTAAAATGATTTTTCAGTGCTGCCAATTTCACAATCTATCTACTTGCAATTCGGTGATAGGGCTACCCCACAGTTTTCCTAAGCATAATTCAAAATATGATAATTGATTATGTTTTTAGCAAAATATTGCAAATTACCATAAAGAAATGTCAGATCACAACCATTATTAATTATACCAATGATTATTATTAGACAGATCAATTATCAGTAATAATAAATAAAATTATTCTATCATTTCGCAAGCTGTTGTGTTTTTTGTTTTAATGTCTTCTGAATAAAAATAAGCCGTCAGAAATGCAGTTTCAATAAAAATTCACACAATGATTAACTTTCACATTTTAAATGTGTAATATACATAATATTACATATCACTCAATTTAATGAAATTTGGAATGGATTTGGAATCTGCATATGAATTAAACAAACAAAAAATAAATACTTAATTTATTCCGTTACGAAAGCGAAATTGCAAACACTAAACTATATGATATAGCATATATATGCTATTTCGATTGACACGACTGTAGTTGTTTACTTAAATATTAAGATGCCGAAAAAGAAGTCCATTATTTTTACGTGAACTTTAAGACTTTTTTTAACATATTTAGAGTTAGTTTCAGGATACGTCTCTCATAGAAGTCTTGGTCTCTATTGGGGAAAAACTCTAGTAATTGATTTTCACAGTCTTCTCTTGGTGCCAATTTCTTATCACTAGGGAAGTTTTGCAATGCAAGAAAAACATGGTAATCGTTCGGTGCCGAGTGCAGCCTATATGTTGAATGCATCCAAAAATTCGCAACCAAGTCGCCTGGGTTTCTCACGGATTATTATAGACGTGTGTCGGCTATTGAAACCTGGAATAACTCTCCTGTTGGTCAGTTCTGGCCGTTTCTGGCCAATCGCTAGCTTCAAACGGTCCATTCATAATAAATGATTCATTTCCCGTCTCACCAAATGCAGAACCTTGCTGGCCGTAAGTCCTGGTTTGCTCACCGTTTGCGCTGCTTCACTTCTCATTAACCACGATCGTTTCCGCAACAGTGCTGTCGCATGTGACCCATTTCTCACACCCAGTTACCATCGGTTTAAGAAATGGGACGATTTCATTCCGTTTGGTTTTTTCCGACTTCGTAGGTGGAAATTCGATATATCCTGTTTTTTTCTGATAATTGTTGGGGCACTCAAACATCAAGCTTCTTTTTGAATTCAACTTTGTGTATTTTAAAACTGTTTTATGGGTGATCTTTAGCTCCTGGGCGATGCTGTGATTGCTAACATGCCCGTCATCTTTGATCATTTCTGTGATTTTATCGACATTTCCGACGACGGGACTATCTCTCCGAAGTGCAATGTTAACATCAAAAATATCTAAATGGAATCATCGAGACCAAAATTGCGCGTAATTGGCTGATACATCCTCGGGACTATAAACAGCATTCACAATTTCAGCGGTCTGGCTTGCATTTGCGACTTTATTAAAGAAAAACTGCAAAGTGTATCGAATTTTCTTTTTGTTGACTTCAATTTTTAACACCCTGTAGCTAAAAATTAAGTGGACTAAACAAAAGACAACAAAAGAATTTTTTTAGTGCGAAATATCACCTTTCCAATGAACATAAATCTGTAAGTGTTTTATCGATACTTTGCGAGATATCGATCATTGCAGCCATCTACCTCAAAATAATTGCCTTCTTTTTCCCACCCTTTATATTTTATAAAAGACTTTTTGCGCTCAAGGTAATTTTATAAATTGATATCATCCGTTCATGTGCATGTCAATGTAGATCGTCCACAAAATTTTGTTGCATGTAACTGAAGTTGATGAACATGAATTCTTTCTAAGTTGTAAGTAAACTTGTAGATTTACTGATACTATCAGCTTTTATATATAAATGATTTCTCTTCCACGTCGTTTCAGTTAAATGAAAAACTTGTCGGTATTTTAACGTACGCAAGGTTAAGGTGTTTTATATTTTTTGATTTGTGTAGCAGGGATTTTCTTGTCATTCTTTAGAATTTGGAAAAAAAAGATAGAAGTATTCATTAGATATATATTAATTGCCCTAGGCGAAAGTCGATAATGGATGAAGAAAATGATCATGATTATGCGGTCAATGTTGTTTCGGAGGACTCAGATACTGATTTCGAGGATCCTATCATACCTTTGCGAAGAAGAGTTCTGCGAGTGTATGTACAGAACTCAACAAACCCAAGTGCACAACAAAGCCGAACAAGTCAGGCCAGTGTTAGATCTAGCGCAGCTCGCTTGTTACCAAGCAATACCGATCATGATTACCTCTCCTCTACTGCGTCGTCGAGCAGCGCATCTTCGCTTTTCATGAACGCGGTCTTCGAAGAGGATGACGATAACCAGTCAAATACGAGTTCGTTATTAACAATTAACAGCGCTCCAGGCACACTCGAAACTGGTAAGACATATTCATAAGTTATAGCTGTGTTTAAAGTCACACCCAGAGCATATTTTTTGTTTAGACAACACAAATCCACAGTCATCGAGTTCTGAAGACAGTAACGCGATAGAAATAGAAGTAGCATCTGGTAGCAACGAGACTAATCATGAAATAGGTAATAACAAGAATTTTTAATTACGAGCTCGAACGTTTTTTTTACTTAACAATGAAAATGAACGCCATATAGGTGATGGCAATGAGCCGGAGGCCGTTGTTGCAGACAATAATAACGATGTACTTACTTCACCCCAACCAAAGAAGCGTAAGCGTTTATCAACCGAGAAAACGACGCACACTACTCCGAAAGTTAATGAGAGTTCGCCTGACAATGACGATGATGGCCTCACCTGCTCGATATGTTTCGATGTGTGGGAAATGTCAGGAGAACATCGATTGGCTTCGTTGAAATGTGGTCATCTTTTTGGTGACTCTTGTATAAGAAGATGGCTGAATGAGAGTGCTCGACAGACAGGCACAAGGGCATGTCCACAATGCAAGACGAAAGCCCATCCTAAAGAGATTCGTTACATATACGCTAAAAGACTACGCGCTGTTGATCGCAGCGAAGAGCATCGTATGCGCGATGAGCTAGGCGTTGAACGTAATCGGACGCAAAGCTTGGAGTCTGAGCTTAGCGCACTTAAAATCTCGTACACACATGTTGCACAAAAATTGAAACGTGCCGAAGCGGAATCGGATCGTATGAGATTGTTACTTCAAAACGGAGGTGGCGGCACTACATATCTAGCCGGTGGTTCCCGTAGATCCCTACAAACATATAAATTATTTTTGGAACGCAATGTGGAGATTTCGCGAGAGCCAGGTAGCCGAGTAATGGTCTACGCTCATTTGCAATCTAGCATGATTGTGTCACAAAAAAGTTCCAATGGGCTATTTCCGGGCTATGGGTTGCGGTTTATCGACACTCCGACCTTTAAGCCATCAACATTCCTGCATGCCTCTAGTAAATTAATACGCGACATTAGTTTGTCTGTCAACCAACAGTTGCTGGCAGTTACAAGCATGGAAGTGCGTACCAAACTGTTTGATTTACGTAGTAGACAAGCATCAGCAACCTTTATGTCAGCTGACAAACCTATATGGTCCTGTTCACTAGATCGTAACAGGGAGTATTTCCTTTATTTGGGTACACAGCATGGTAGCACCTGCGTGTTCGACATACGTTTCCCAGAAGCAATGGTAAATGAATATAAAGCAGAGGCTGACTCCAGTCCTGTTATTAACGTAGCCTCCATCGCTCCTAGTAGCCAGTTTCCGTTTGGTGGTTTTCTTGTATGCAAGCTCACGTCATTGTGGTTCTATGAATATTCATCATCAATAAGAGAAACGACACCCTGCCGGCTGAATGTTGACGGGCCGTTTACTTCATTGAAAGTTGACGTTGCCCAGAACACAGTGCTTGTAACGACAAGAAGCCGGCTGTGTAATCATGAAGAGCGTTACATTTTAGGAAAAATAGATAAAATCGATGGTAGTGTCATCTTCAGCATTAGTATTACATTTTATGGTTCAAAATTCACAAATGTTATGACACGTTCCTCACAGATTGCGGTCCAATCTAACACATTAATCGCTGCTTACTTACAGGATACGAAAATGCTAACTTTATTTGATGTTAAACAAGAGCAACGCTTGCAATCCTTACCTGTTCAGGACGTTGTCTACGATACATGTCCCATCTATACAAACGACCGGATATATCTGGCAGCATTGACCGACTCCAAATATCGAATATATCTTTTAACAGCTTCTACCTAGTCGATAATAAATAATAAGCAAGCCTATGAACGTTGAAACACAATCCGATTAGTAGTTGGCATGTAACTAGCAAAAAACGAACAAAAAACAGAACAAAATAAATAAACTTTAACTTTAAATAAATTGAAATGAAGTTATCACAAATGTAAATGTGCTATTTTATCCTTTCCGTTGGATCGAGACTGAAAACATAAGGACGAAACTGTATTTGGTGTAGACTGATTTTTTTTTTAATCACCTGCTATTTACTTGTTATTATTACCTTTGAATAAATGTATTTCAAATGTGTAAACCATGTTCGTTTGGAATTTTGTAGCTTTATCGGTCTTTCGTTAAATCAATTCATTCACTGCTCGACTATGATATAAGAGTGACAAGTGAAATTTGTGTAGCATATAAGTCAGCGTTATAGCTGACAACAGTTATAGCAAGAACAAGCAGCAAAAGATTTATAATTTTCAATTTTCTAACAGTCATCGATGATGGCGGTGGTATGACCTGACCCATTGATACGCTGATACGTTGCAGTACGAGAACAGTTTTCACTTCATGATCAATCAATTGCATCAAAGAGATATACAACTTGTAGGAGTGCTAAAAAACAGAGCGAGTAAATCAATTTTGCTATTCTTACATAATTTATAAGTAAATTCCCTAAATGTCAATATCTTCCGGATGGATTTCCTCCTGTTCTCTAAACGAGGCAATCATTTGAACGTTTCGCTATCTTTCCTATTCCAAAAATATACAATGCTTGGAAGCAAAAATGTGCGTTTTTGAAAATGTGCATACTTACAGTGCTGCTCGATTACATATCGAAGATATTCGAAATAAAAATTGAAATGAATTTGTTTTTCTAAGTATTTATTAAATATTGCGTTTGAAGGTATGATTTATTTAATTATAGTTTACACGCTGTAGTCAAATAGATGTAACTGTTGTGTTTGTATGTTTATAACACAAATAAAGGGGATCAAATGTACGGTATGGTTGATTGACTGTTGGATATGATCTCTACACAAGTTTGGATGTGGCGGAAATTTTCTATGCTACGTATATTTGAAAACAATTCAATATATTTCTTATATAAGAACGAATCTTTTACATAATAGGGGTTTTCTTGTTTTTTTTTTTTTTTTTATATACTTATTTAATGTATGTATAATTTCGTAATAAATTATTTTCTATAAAAATTTTTCTTCACTTTTTTTTTGTTTTTGGTTGTTTGGGTTTTTTTTTTTTTTTTTTTTTTTTTTTTTTTTTTTTTTGCTAACAATAAACCTCCGATCAGATGATCAGTGCTGTTGAGTTTTTAACGATAATCGATAAAATGTTAACATTTATCACCGTTTAAAATCGCCTTTTCACTCACTCTCTTCCTTTGCCTCCTTAGGATGCCTAGTTTGCATCAAAATCGCCACATTAGCGATTTAATACAATTGATTCTCATACGCTTCAATAATACATTTGCATTAAAGTCTAAGACATTTCAATTGATTTATTAAGATCTAATTATAGAAACTTAACATTATCGCACTTAGAATAAGAGTGTAGAACAACGGGCCAGTATCATGGCGTTATTTGCCGAAATTTGTTCAAATCCTTTAATTTCTTCTTCGACTACGTGCTAGTGAAACTAAACATTATTTTCTATCGAAACTAACGCAAATTTATTTAATCAATAATTGATTGCATATAAGAAATTATTTAACATAGTCAGAAATTGCTCCGAATAAGCGTTGGATTACAATAATAATATAAATGAATTTGATGTCATTTCCCTTTGCGTGTGTGTGTGTATGTGTGTTAAAATGATTTCCGGCTTGATGATGATGAAAATTTTACCGTTAGGCTATTAATTGAAAATATTTTTGTGATCTCATCATATGAAGCACATACTCCAACTAACTCTCTCTCTTTCTCTCTCTCTCTCTCTTTCTCTATTCATTCTAACCCTGCAGCTCGTCTGTTCGATGAACATTAAAAACTTTTGAGCCGAACTCGAAAGCCGACTTGACTGCATTTCTAGGCTTAAAATAAATAAAAGGCAAATCAAATGTAAAACGATTGATTTTATAAACTAACATTTAACAGAAAGCATTTTTTTGTTATTGCAGTTCTCGTCCGCATTATAAGATTATGTTAAGAACTTTAATGTACACATTTATTCATTGACTCATTCATTCGTTCACATGTTTTTTTTTTTTTTTTCTTCTCTTCTTTATGCTAAGCTCTTTATGCTAACTTCAAGTTAAGTTTCTATATTTAGATCATGAACTTTGGTTGCATTTTTATTAGTTTAACGTTTTTTATTAAAAACGCTTTTCATAATAATTTGGATCATTTTTCATACAAAAAGGCATACATATGTTTCTTCGTCACTTTTATTTAATTTTCTCCGCTTTAAGACATTTCGTTATAAAAAAAAAAAAACAGAAGAAGAAGAAGAAAAAAGATCTCCAATATACGTAAGTATTTAAATGTGTGTTCGTGTTGTCGAACACACAATTATGTTTTATTTATTATTTACGATTTTTGGTTCTTTCGTCTTTTTTTGTTTTCATATTAAAAAAAAAAAAAAAAAAAAAAAAAAAGTCTCACCAATTAAATAGATTTATATATATATATATATATATGATAGTGTTTTTTTTTTTTATTTTTATTATTATTTTTTTTTTTATTATATAAATGCTTCTCCGAAATGCTAAATGTTTACCAATCGATCGACAATATAAAAAAATTATTTAGTATTTCACTTGGTTTTGGGGTATGCTGAGGGCTTGAGTTACTATTGTTTAGAAGTGAAAAATACAAATTCTCTCATTATTTGCATATACTTTTGAAGTATGTTTCGATTTTATTTCTTTGTTTACGTGATTTAATTCTACATTTTTTTTTTTTTTTTTTTTTGGTAATTATTTTTTCTATAGACAAAAATACGTTTGTATTGTACGTACGTTTGTGTGTGAATGAATTCACATATATGTATAAATTGTAATTAAAAATAAGGAAGAAAAAAAAGAAGAAGAATTAAAGAAACTTTATCGAGTTCATAACTTTTCCAGTCATCAATTACTTTTACATGTTTTTAATTGTTTTTTTTTTTTTTTTGTTTCTTTTCTTTTTTTTTTTTATTTTATTTATATAGTCTTATAATTAAAATTTACAAAACTATAAAAGCTAGAATCACTTATAAACTAAATAGACAATGGTGGTGTAATACCAACGTAAATACTACATGAGTATACATACAAACAGATTCATTCTCATTATTGAATTCTCGTGAAAAAAAGATTAAACTGGGGAAAAAATTAAATGAAAGGGAGATAGCTTAGAATGTTACAAAATTTCAATGCGTACGAATAGATGTAACTACAACTATCGTGAATGCGTAATAAGAACAAAGTAAAGTAAGCGTCAAATGCGACGCACATATAAACTAAATCAGTCATTACCAGTTAACGTTACGGCGGCAACATGGAATATCCTTTCCGTTCGGCAAAGTCTTTTTAATCAATACGAGCGTAACGCGGCACAATGTCGTTGCTAATCCAAAAATTGCAATTCGGATAATCGCTCTGTGACAGTGGATCCTGGCCGACGTTAATTACTCTCCTCCGCGGATCATACTGTGGTACGGTGCCATGCGATACGTAGTAGTAGAACAGCTGTTGCATGGATGAAACAAAACGTCGTTGTTCTACTGTGTGGGGCTCGTAACGTCCCATAATAGCCTGAACGTCAGCGTCGACAATAGCCAATTGCTCTTCGCCAGCACCTTGGGTGACCACATAAAAGGGAGCAGACGGTTGAAGGCGGGCATTAATTAATAACGGACAAATGGTACGAATATCAGTTATCATAGACACGAGGGCTGGATAATTGGTGGCATTGTAGCGCCGTATGGCTTCGTCAGTCAAATTAAGAGTTCCAATTTTTGACGACTCAATGAAATTTCTGATTTCTTCCGCTGTCCAATTGGCGAAACGTCTGCGCAATTTCTCAGTGTGAGATTCATGAGCTGTGGTACCCATAACTAAAACCGGATCGCCGGCATGCTCTTTTTTCCATGATTCAGCTGGATGCTCCTGCAAAATGTCTCCATCCAAAACCAGCCATTCATGGTGGGCGGTCTTATTCTCGACTGCGGTGGGAATATCGACCGGAAAATGCAGCCATGTATCTGGGGTTGCATCCCATATTTTCTCCGCAGAGGCAGCTCGTAGACATTTAACGTCTTGACACTCTAACGCCTGTAAAAATTCCTGATTTCGTTTCTCTGATTCAGCCAATGATTTACCTGGATATATGGCCGAAGCAGATGATATCCAAGCACGTGTATACAATCCTTCAGCCTTTTTCGAGGTAATCAACGCAGTCACTAAGGTGCCACCAGCTCGATGACCCAATATAGTTACAGATTTGGGGTCCCCACCAAAATGGACAATATTTAATTTGATCCACTTTAGGGCAGCGATAATATCGCTTAAACCATAATTGCCTGACGTGTGAGGATAGGAGTCTTTTGTAAGGACTTCTACAGCGAGGAAGCCAAATGCTCCCAAACGGAAATTGGGTCGTACGTAAATGACATCGTGCGAACGGGAGTAACGTGCAGATGGACGTAACACGCCCGGCGAAGGCCCGGTTAGACTCTCGGCGCTTATCATTACAATAACAGGCAACGGGCTATCGTAGCGAATGTGCGGTGTAATCACGTCCAAATACAGACAATCCTCGTCACCTGTAACTGTACCATTTCCTAACATCTGGGTGCACATTGCACTCGAGTTATGTGCCTGCAATGTTCCATTCCAACAGTCTTCAATGCCTTCAATAGTTTGAGCTGAACGCCAACGTCTATCACCAGTTGGGGGCAAAGCATAGGGAATACCACGAAAGGCAAAGGCTCCGTCTTCTTTTAATCCCTCGACCATACCGCAACCGGTAACTGCATCCATAAAACGGCCCTCTCGTATAGGCGGTGACGTTAGAGTTTCATATGACAGCACGTAACCGATGACAGCAATCAAAAATATAAATAAGAGGATGCCTAATGCGATGAGAGCATCGTCGACGGAACACTTATAAGAACGTAAACGTTGACAAAACGAAATTTGTATATCCTCGGCATCGTTGAATGTTTTCTCTTCGGAGGCCTGCTTTATTTCGCCACTTGGTGTTTTTTTCAGCTTAGAGATCTCGTCTACACCATTATTCTTCGGAGACGCTTTATCTATGCAGTCTTGGTCTTTGAGGGAATCATCTAACGTCTCCATCGAAGCGAGACCAGCTTTACCCATACCCAACTCTACATCATCATCGGGCGACTTCTTCGGTATCATATTAGCAATAGGCAGCTTTATAGCATTCAATAAACCGCGTTTTGGTGGTGGACCGTCTGAGTTTGTTCTCATATTGGCCTCAGATGCGGGCCCTGCTTCAGCGGTGGCCTCTACAAAGGTAAATAAATGAAAAAGAGAAAAACAAAAAATTAATTTTGTTTACAGCCGAAACCTTACATGGATGCACGTGCGAACGTATTCCTGCATTTGATGTTTTAAGCACTTACCGCTCTTTGTATCGGCATCTCCAGTTGAAGCCGCTTGTTGTTTAGCTTGTTTTTCTGCCGCTGGTTTGCGTACAAAAAAATCTCGTAAACGTTTTCCGAAATTTTTTCCCGGCTTTTCATCCTTTTTGGCCAACTTAACCTCACTAGTTGTTTCTTCCTTGTGCTCCTTTTCAAGCAGTTCACCATCGGCACCGTCACCGTCAACTCTCGGCTTGGATTTCATAAAAAATCCGGGCAATTTTAGCCCACCAATTGGGATCTTCTTTGGTTTAACTTCCCGATCCTCGGTGGAAATTTTTTTGTCGTCACCGTTGTCATGATTTTCTTCGTCGAGTGTTGTTTTAGCGTCGCTCTCTACCGGTACATCAATAATTTCTTCACTCGCATTGGATCGCACTTCATCTGAAGCCTTTCTCTCGCTAACGGGCGTAGTCGGTTTGGAATTCGATTTCTTTTTATTATCAGCAGACTTTTCTGAATGTGGTTCAATCGATTCTTCTTTCTTCTCTAGCATTTTGTCCGTCTCCTTGGGCTCTTCTGCACTCTCATGTTGAGTAGCACTTTCAGTTGCGGGGGTCTCTTTTTCCTCGAGCTCACCCATTCTTAATTTATTATAACCTTTCGATTGCTCACTTATTTATAGTTTATACTTCAACACGATTTACTTACTATGTCAGCGATCTCTCAAATTTTCTGTAATATGTTGAAAATTAATATTTTTTATTTTATTAATATTTAATATTCGTTTGACGTATAAGAATGCTATTGACTTATGTGAGATAGAAAATATGTATTTAGAAGCGTAATGCTTGCTTAAGGCAAGAGCTTATCGATGAACTAACGACAGATCGTGAGTCAACAATTCGATTGCTTATGGCGTAGCTTTCTTAGCCAAGGCATTTAAAGGCAATGCATATAAAACAAGTGCCTGCCTGGCTCTCATATGATGAGACAGCCTATTCATTATGTGTGTGGAAGATTGATGAGACTTGAAAGTTTTTTTTAATGGTTTTTTGGTGGAATCAACTTGAATTAAATAATCGCGATATCTTAATCCTGATGGGCGGAAGCCAACCAGCACAGCCGATATCTACTTTAAACCTTTAAACCTTTAACCTTTAACGTGGTATGCCTTTACAAATATTTCGATTCATATGTAAATGTCGCGTAAAAAAATGGCTCAAAAAATAACCACTTTCGGGAGACTATGAATGACAACGTAATGGAGCTTGCTTTTGCGGCTCTTTTACATTAAAGCCGGGCTAGGCCGACTATTCAATACTCTGCAGCACATTGTTTAACACTTTTTTTATATGAACTTATTATTATGCAAGTATGTATTAAAAACCCACCAGACTACTTTGCAAATAAAGGCTTACAGATTGAGATGCGTGTTCGAAAATTCAGGACAATTAATTTTTATATCAAATTACTATATGGGGCTAATTTTCATTATAATATATAAAGTTTAAAATTTTTTGTCTTAAGAAACAAAAATGTTCACGAAAATCCTTATATAGCGGAGGATCCAAAAATAAGCGTACATTGTCCAAATTTTATAGCGTTATCACAATATATTAAAACTTAAACCTTTTTGCGAAAAAATACAAAAATTTTTGATTTTTGATGAATGCCCCTAGCCGCGGTCGGGCACAACTGACGAAAGGGTGCGCGCCCAATCGTGCCCCGACTAAGAGCTCATCGTAACTATGAGAGCAAAGCAAAGTGTACTGTACTCGAGGTTTGAAGCAGGAAACATTGGCTTGGGAACCGCGATTCTTACCCACCCCGCTATTCATGCGAGAAACAAGAAGAGATAATTCGCCACTTATTTCCGGTCACCATTTGCATAATTCGGGCATGATCGAATCGATCGGATATACGAGCCTCTCGTCCCTGAAATATTGCTTGACATTTCCTATGCTAGTGTGGAACATCCAAGTTAAATAAGTGAAACCTCTTAGATCAATTCAATCAATTAAAAATCCGAAAATATTTTAAAATATTTTATTCTAAGAAAATATTGAACATTTCCAAGTGACTAGGACCATGCCCATCCGCTGGACACATGGTCAAATAAAAACAATAATATATTGAGAATTGTAATTGAAAGCATTTTACCGCGATTTTTAAAAGTCGGTTAGCCGTAGGCTACTTTAATACATGCATTGTCATCTGATACGCACATGCACAATGCACATATATACATATTTCTATATAACATATATTTTACTGAGAATGAATTGAAAAAAAGGAGAAAAAAACACAAATTCGTGAAACAACGGTATCGATATCATGAAATATACAAAAGTGAGGAGTAAATTGTTATGAAAAAAAAAAAAAAAAAAAAAAAAAAAAAAAACGAAAAATTGTGTCGGGTCATGGCTTACGCATGAATTTACACACATAGGCCGGCTTGTGAAGATTTGTGCGCCGTTAAGTGATATGAAAACGCCAGTCATCCGAAGATAATATAACAAAAGCTGCAGTAACAGCAGCAGCAGCAGCAGCACCACATATTTGCTTGCTTGCTTGCTTGTGTGTGTGCATTTGTCGTAATACACTTTATTAAAAGTTTGAACTCGGTGTCAAAAACTGCCGCATCTAATCGTTAAATCGCTAAATATTAAGCAAAACATTAGGTTGTCCATCACAGAGAGAGAGAGAGAGAGAGAGAGAGAGAGAGAGAGCGAGAGAGAGAAGCCTAGAACATATATGCACACGATATGTGTATATAAAGCGAAAGAGAAGCAATCAGACAAAAAACCGTTACAAAGTTCAAAGCTGTTTAAACAAAACTTTTACGTATTCTTATGCATTTGCACCATCAGCCAGCCGTCAGGCACACATTCAGACACATTTAATTGAACGTACAGTCAGTCGCATTAACATGCGCTTTTTTCGCTCGATAAAAACTAAACGCTCGTTAATCCTACTCCATTTTCGAAACAACAACTTTGAAGACATAGTATCATTAATATTGGGTTCTTTTCATATAACAAAGGATACGAAAAATCAAATCAATCTGGCGGGGTATCTTTTTTACTTAGTAACGTGATTTAAACGTCTTGACATATTTTGCGTAATTTTCCTTGTGTAGGAAACAGGGATGTTAATCCATTATTCTTACAGGCTATTCTTCCGACCTTGGACGAAGGGGATTGATTGTTTTTTTTTGGCACGTGGCGGTCCAATCCATTACACATAGTTTTGATGGGTTTCATGTCTGGTAATTGACGCACTTTGGGGCATTTATATAGGAGCCGTTCTTGAATTAAGCGGCATTTACGCTTGGGATACAAACACCAAGTTTGTACGCCTTGTCTTTAGAAATCTGTAAAAAATCCTCCTCGTTTACAATGCCGTCCATAAATAACAATTTACCGACTCCATTGGCCCAATGCATACCAAACTAGGACATGACCATTGCTGTGCTCGTGGTAAGCCGTTAACTCAAAAACGCAATAGGAAGGTAAGACTAGAATGTGCTCGCGATAACACTCAATTCTTCATGGAAAAAATGAGCTTGGAAAAGTGTTTTTCTTGTTCCCATGGCAAAAACTCAACATTATGGCATGCATTCGAGGTTGTTAAAGTTATTTAATTTTCCTATCTACTGGAATAATGTTATAATGTATAATAAAAAGAAAAAAAATTGCTATGTTCGGACAATGGACTAGGTTTAAGAAGCGTTTACTTTTTGTCGAGCGAAAAAACGCAATACTAATGAGACTCACTGTACTTAACAATCCTAGAGAATCCGATTAACTGCATACGAGCGTATGAGTGAATGTATGTGTATGCATATAACTAATGCATAGACTAACATAGTTATTGTGCGTACACATTGTGCGTATACATAAATGACTTTTGTTAGATACCGGCTATGCATAGCTGCAAAGCGAATAAGGTCAAATTAGCCATCACACAAACGCATTCATACAATATGGCTCATATTCATAAATATTTCCATTTTTTTTTTTTTTTTTTTTTTTTTTTTTTGTGAAGATAAAGTTCCAGTCCCTCTCGCGGTTGCATTATCTCATTCGCGAAACGAACTAAAATATGTAAGCAAACAAAGCCTAATTCATTGCATTTAAGCGCAAATTACAACAAAAGCATGGAATTATATTTGATTTGGAGAGAGTCTCTTCTGGGCTGATGGACATCTCTTTCAGTTCACTCAGACATGATGTGAGCTTCACGTCCCTAATAAGGATTCGTACGCAAGTATCGAGTGCCAAGAGGCGAGAGCATGATGCGAACAAAATTTCCAAATTCTTTTCGATTATGGAGATACGACTGCGTAGACTAGATCAAGAATAACTGAATGAAGGGACATCATCAGATTATTAGCAAACATGCCATACAATGCTTAACAATTGTTGATTGGTGAGATGAGTTGTGGCAGCAGAAGTTACGGAACTCTCCAAAAAGCCATGTGTCGTAATTTTACTTTGATTTGTATCTCAGAGATATTAGCTTAACAACATTTGCATACGTACTTCTCGGACAAAGATTGAAAACAATGCCCTCGACCACTGCCCTTAGCATATTCTTAGCCTTAGTGCTTTTGGGATATTCGCAATATTACTCTGAACTAATTTCTATTTCGGGAAAATGAATACCAAGCACTGGAAAGCATTAAAGTTCGAGAGACTTTTCCAACCGATTAAATCGTACATTTTCGACCAGAAAGTCACATGCGAAGAAGATAAGAGTCTGTTTTTCCATTCCAAATACAAATCTCATTCACCAACGCAGACTTACAAGTCATTATCCCCATATAGCTTATAGGGTCCTAGAAGCGTCCTCAATTTTTGACTTAACTTCCTTGCATTGTACAAAATTGCATTACAGCGCATGTGACAAGCACTTCTGCCTGTGTTATCCCTGCTTTATAGGTTTCATATCCTTTCCTTGTTTTTTCAATCGGTAAATTGGGAAAGCGAAAGAAATGTGTCTTTCAAATCCAAAGTTAAGCCATTCTATATATATCTTTAGCGTTCATTTTATCTGAAAGATAGGCGTGGCTGAGTTGCGCAATTCATTTGCTGACCTTTGCCTTCAATGCATTAATCACGCATCTAAGGACATTTTTTCATTCATCACAACAACAATACCGCACGCAAATTGCATGCGTTCAATATATTGCAACGAATTTTTACAGATTACATGGCTATATTGGCAACTACCACCGCGAGGAAACAAAGGCACACAAACGGCTCATCATTGTTATTATTAAAATGCTCACATACCTACATAAAGTACAGTAAAGCACAAAATGCCGGTGACGAAAAAGTTATGAACGAAATGGTCGTATAAAAAAAAAAAAAGAAAGAGGAAAAAAAGAGAAAATATATACACGCACACTAACTGTGTACTTGCATACATAAGCAGATGTACGAACAGACATATGCGTACGAAACGAAGTAATGTGAATGCATTTGGATATAATTTCTAGTCCTGAACCGTTATCCGATTAATGCGAAAATTGGAAACGCTTCTTATTGAGGTAAATGTAGGTTGAGGTATATACATATAAGTGTGAATGAAAATATATAATGGAATTAATTAATTAATCTACACTGCTCTTCTTCTTTCTTCACAGCAACGTAAAGATCTGATGAGAGAGCAATTCGCAGTTTAAACTATTGCGTCTTTCCTTAAGTCCGTAGCAAAAAGCAAGGAAAAATGTACACCTAATTCTCTTTTTGCACGAATTGTTTTCTTTTTAACACGATTTTCAATATTTTATGAAAATTTTTCATGAATTCTCTTAATGCATTTTTTTTTTTTATAATTCTACATATATTTTCATTCTCATTTCCCACTAATATGCATTGCTTTACCTCAGGCTATATTTTCCTCAATTCGGTTAGATTACGTTTTCAGGTCTGCAATTAATCGACTACTTTTTCATTTAACCAATATTTCTTACACCAACTTTTTGGGAACGTGTCTGTCGTTAAGAAAGGGAATTAGATGTATATGTATATATGTACATTAATTGTCAAATATCGAATGGAATAAATTCAAGTCTCAATTAATAGCATTTGCGCTATCATCTTGGAGCTTAATATCTCTGCAATGAATTCAAACGAACCGCTTACGGATTACACGTTCACTTGGCGGCATTTCTTCAATTCAATTGTAAGTTTTTTTCGAATTAAAAACTGAAAACGCAATTTGTCCCACGTTTAGAATATACAGACACGTCCATAAATGTCAGTTTTCGCATAATGAGGCATATTAAGTGCGGCATTTTTGTGCCAAGACATAATGCATGTACTGAGTCAGCTATTTTTTATGTAATCGTAGAAAGCATATGCGTAGCCATACAAACTCAAAAAGCCGGTATATTTGAAAATAGCATATTAGCGATTTTAAAGCGCTCAATTAATATCGCGATTAATTTGTTTATTTAAATCAAGAAACATCGGCAATTAGGCCAGTTAGAGCTGATAGCTGGTAGCCGCAACTAGTTAATGCCAATTGCTTACCTTTTACGCGAGTCGAGTCATATATTTACCTCAAGCTGAGCGCTAGAACTACCGCGTGTGTCGTTTCGATGCTGTTTAATATTCGATCTTCAAGAAGAAAATTATAAAGCAATCTGCGATTCGATTGTTTATACCTAATTTTAGTTTTTGCGGTACGTACTTCTACGAAAACGGATCATTTTAATTTCCGCTTTACGGTCGAATTGTCATAGTTGCAAAAATGAAGAAGCGTTCCTTGATTCAATTTATTTTCAATTTATATGCAATTGGTTGAAAACGCGGAATGAAAATTGCAGCCATAATTATGGACTTGTAAGTGAAAGGATCGGGATCACTTCTGGAACGAATAGGCAGATAGTTTTGACAAGTCTTCCGAAATATCTTCGCGCGATCAAAAGTCGTAAATAAAAAGAATAGTCGGTGGTTTCTCACAGTTATCTCAGTTTCTAATCTTGTGCAAGCGCCTATGTGGGCCTATTTTTAATTGATCAAGGATTACTTGTGGCAAATTTCAGTCTGACACCTCTTTTGGTAGACAAACAACACTAACACAAAGTTAAATATCTCTCACGTAGGTGTTTTTTCTTCTTGCTTATTTTTTGTACACAACCACGTGGGTCGTGGGTTATGATTTGCTAACGGATGAATATTAAAGGCGCTAGCTTGGTTTTTTTTTCGGTCGCACAATATCTGATGGCAGCGCATCTCTCTTTAAATTTATTAACTTTCAGTTTACAAATGTCAAGTTTCGATATTTTTCGACTTGGGAAAAGTCCAATATTAGCGATTAGAGTTGCCGAAGCATTACAAGAAGCTTTTTATGTTATTAAGAGATGAAATTAAAAAAAACATCTGAGAGACGACTGAAATTGTTAACGTATTTGAATTAAATATTTCACAACACATTTTAGATAAAGTGAACCTAAACAAGTAAGAAAATTAAATTCGGTCGCGACCGAATCTTTTATACTCATCACCGACAAAAGAATTAATAGATAGAAATTCTTATACTCTAATGTATGGAGTGCGCGCACTTGATTTCTTCTATTTTCAAAATATAGATTATTGTCACATTGGCATGTGGGCGTTGTAGGCGTGTCATTTGAAAAGTTGACGTCAATTTCAAATTATACAGACGAACAGACGGCGAAGTGGGCATGCTGAAATCAGTTCTGAATTTTATGCTGATCAAGAATGTATATGCAGTAGAAGCTCCTTATTCGCGCACCCTTCATTCGCGTTTTCATTATTCGTGGATTAAAAAAAAATTCTAAAAATTCCTATATTCGCGGCTATAAATTTCTTTATTTGCAGATCTAATAAGTAAATACATAATAATAAAAGGATTCCAACAGATATTCAATTACCAGTCCATACTCCCAGTTTCTATATTCGCGGCACATATAGTCCGCGAATAAAGAACTTTTACTGTACTTTGTGGGGTCACTGAAGCACAAATTTCGATCACAAGTTAAGAAAAATTATAAGTTTTTCGCATGTGAGGCCTCACTTTTCATTAGCACTGTTATATGCGTTAGGGTTCAAAAAATAATGCTACAGTGGTCGAAACACGGGAAATTTGATGTTTTATGTTATAGAATTTACGTATTATGAGCGAGTTTTTATCAAGAAATATTGAAATTTAGTCCTTTTTACCATAAAAAGATTCAGTTTCCGTTTATATGGCGACGAATTCAACAAATTATCTCATCCGATTCAATGGTTTCACACCAATTGGGAATACGCGTGCCGTGAAACTGCAAAAATTATAATATTTTTTTGTACAATTGAGTAATCAAACGAGGCATTCATTGTATGGCGGGTAGTTTGTCCGAACAATTTTCAATAGCGTTCGTGCTTGCGATAAAAGTATATATGGACAGACACACAGTTAAGGTTAGATAGTTCTAATACAACGTGCGTGTAGGTCAAGTCCTTCTGCTGGGTGTTACAACCGTCCGCACAAATTTAATATACCCTACGCCACTTGCGATGCAGATGAATGATATGATATGTAATCGGCAAGTCTTACAAAGACTGATAGGGATTTAATAAAACACAGAAACACGAATAGCGCGATTGAGAGGGGGCAAAGCCATCTGTTGCAAGTCATAGATCGCTTTAATCGCAAACCCTCGAAGGACAACTATTCAAATTATTAGCTGACCGAGCGAAATCTATCCAGCCCGGTCTGTATACTGATCTTCGTCTTCTGTCAAAATATCAAATGACGTTAAGGCTAAGTAACTGAAAAATGCATTGATTACTCTCTCTGCCAAAGTCTTCTTCAGATTTGGATTATGGGTGTTTTATAAAAAATGTTGGTTGTCTGATTGATATTGAAATGAAACGGCGATAACGTTCAATACATATATTTTTTTAAAATGTCTTTCTTTGCTTTCCTTGGCTTTTGTTCGACAGCAAGTGCTAAAATTGCATATGTATATGTATATGTATGTGTTGCAAAAAAAAAAAAAAAAAAAGAAACATGCTTTTTGTATGTTTATGGATGACTTTCTCTCATTCGCGCAAATGTAGTTTTTGGTTTTTTTGCTTTTGTTATAAAGGACTTCACACACCTAGATGGGTGGGGATAACGCTTTGTAGAGTAAAGGTAAAATATGAAACGCTTTGGTACCTAGCATTGGTCGTTGGCATATAGAGAGGGCAAGCATTGCTTTCGCGCCGTCGCAAATAGTTTTTAATAGCAAACAAAATGGTAGGCATCTAAACAAATTGCATACACGATAACAATGATAATGATAATAATAATTATAATGATGACGATGATGATGATGATGATGAGAGTGATACAGAAATATTAGTATATGCTTGAAAAAGTTTCTGTTCTGTAATAATAAACACACCTATGCATGGATATATATATATATATATATATATATATATATATTGTATGCATGAAGAGTAATTAATTGCCAATTTTACGGACATCAGTTCTTGACATTTCCTGTAAGCAAACACAGAAGAACAACACAAGCGTAACCAACCTTCCAATTGTATACTTTAACGGCGGCAGCGATGTATAGTGGAATTGAAAGATTTACGATTTTCGTGTTATTCCATCTCTTTTTTTTTTTTACTTGCACATATGCAAACGTACGCATTCCACTCACTCTATTATATAAACAAATTTGCGTCTGTGTTTTGTTTTCATTACCTTGTCATCACATTTCCAAATGTTAAATAAAAATAAAAAAAATAAAAGGAAGAAAAAAAAAAAAAAATTCCAAAAATATTATTTGTTTATATTTGAATCGTATTTGTTTATACATGTATCCCAACAGGCGGAATGTAACGCTAATATTATATATATATATATGCTTTATTTGTAATAACATATCTACTAAATCTAAAGCGTCGAGATTTCTGTTATTGTGAACCATATATATATATATATATATATATACATACACATGTATGTATGAATGCTAACATTGACATCAACCAGATGATCAATAAAAATTAGATTGAAAAGTCTATTTACTGCCTGCGTGTGTGTACCCGCCCACACTAAGGCATTGCATAATGTTGTTAGGTTTTTGTTTAAAAAATCACTTATCCCTCATCGGTTTCATTTCATTTAATTTGTTTATAAAAGAAAAATAAGAAAACATAATTTTGCCATTGACTGACTATATGAGGCAATGGTGCCTTTGTACAGTCGTGCAATTTATCTTTGATGATGATTAACTTAGTTACGATATCCTTACGATTGATTGACTCGAATTTAATTAATTTTTTATATCACTCACTTTTTCAATTCGAGACTCATAAAGCTGAAACGTGTATGAAACAACGGCGATGTTTCTGATGTTTTTTCTTAGTCTCTTTATATCATTTCTTATAAATTTATTTAATTCACATATATGTATGTATGTATATACGCATAGGCATATGAGTGTGACATCACTTTATGGCTTATTTAGTTTGTTTGCATTTAGCACAGAATAAGGCATATATCATTTATACACACACACACACACACACAGTTATATTTGTATATTAATATACATAAATACGTACAAATATATACGTATATATATATATATATATATATGTAAGCACGTCAATGTAGAAAAACAAAAGGGGAAACGATTAATCACTTGCCGCTTATGTTTCGTTTTCGACGTATGCACCGTTTCAGAGCGTTATTTCAACTAGTCGCCGGCGCAATAAAACCTCAACAATTTAACATAGATTCGAGTACAGAATCTGAAAAAAAAAAAACAAAAATAAAAAAAATTTTTTTTTTTTTTTTTCTTTCCTTTGTTATTTTATATTTTTCCAGAACGACTACAATTGCAACTGCTGTTGTTGCTGTTTGCCGTTTTGTTGTTTGTGTTGTGTTTGTTGCCTTAGTCGCATATTCTCAACATATAACTTCAACTATTGCACGCGTACTATGCAGCATGGATTGATTGTCTACTGAAAGAGAAAATGCCACGAACTGAGCGTCATGTCTTATATAGCTTTGTAAATGTGCTTACAAATTACATAGAAGTGCATAAACATAGACTAATACAATAGTTCACCGTATTAACAAGAGAAAAATTTCATGCAAACAACAACAAAATTGGAAGAAAATGTATTCAATGCCTTTACGGGTATTAAATACGAATTAATATAAGGGATGTTTTGGAAGCCTTTCTGTTCTTTTTACATTCTATGGCCATTTATATATAGACATTATATATATATATATATATATATATATATATACTTATGGGACAGAGTGAAATATTACAAAAATTAATCTTAAGCTCCTTCTCGCATACTCTTAGATAATTTAAAGATTCATTAATCAAATGACTTGACGTACTCCCTTAATGAGTACGGTATGTAATCCTCCCCGTTAAAGTCCACATTTTCCTAATTTCTATTCATTGCTGCTACGATTTTAAAAATGTGTCGAACAAGCGTTCCCAACATTCCGAACTTCTTAAATTAGAAGCTAAAATATTTAGATTTTCATAGGGTGGAAAACAAGGCGGACTGGCTGTTCTGCCAAAAATCTCATACGCTTCCTCTTGAGCAGAAGTAATTTTGCAGCAATTTTTCCCAAGTTTGTCACTTCTATTTAAGTTTATTTTAGGTTAGGTTAAAGATATCGTTCAAACGGCAACAAGGTTACGGTTAGTTTTCACCAACTTGAAGTTTCCCGATATCAATTTGATAAATGGTCCACAATATGTTTATACGCGGCACATTTTCCATCAAAATAATCATTTGAATGCATCATAAGGGACATGACATACAGACGAGAAACTATGTTGTTTCTATCGTAATTGTACAACAACTTTTGACGAAGAAAAAAATTTCAAAGTTAAATCACTATTGAGTGAAGATTTAATAAATTTTCATTTTTTTATGCTTAAGTTTTAGATATCAATTATTTATATATATACGCGCATATGTATATATATTCATCCAGGCAATTCCAGCATTTTACTACGATAACTTTACGGTAACTTTAAGTGCGTTCCATTCGTAAATGACAGACGGACGGCTTAGTTTAAATCGACTTTCAATTTGAAAAAATCATGATCTCTAAAGCGTACATGCGGATCGATCCGATGACGGTTGCTGGATAAAAAAAATGGTTAATCAGACTTAGAGTTGATTGTCTTTGCTAATCATTTTTATATCTATTTTGCGCGGTTGTATCTCTATCTCTATTCCAGTGATGAGTTTCAGGTTTTCCAGCAGTTAAACGTATAAATTCTTTCCAGTCATTCTCTCCCATATGCACATAAAAAAGTTTTTTATTATTTAATATTAATTTCTCTATTTTAACATGCAAGCAAAGGGACGCTCGTTTCCTCGGCTTTTCAGGATGTATCAACGAAAACAATGAAAATGTCGGACAGTACGCTCTGAAAGGTGAAAACTCACCACCGTTTCGATAGAAATGAGAGCTAGAGAGAGAAAGAAGGCAATGGTGAAAGCGAGAGAGAGAGAGAGAGAGAGAGAGAGAGAGAGAGAGAGAGAGAGAG